AAAAAAAAAAAAAAAAAAAAAAAAGAGAGAGATCTAGGTGTGGTGGCACATGTCTTTTATTTTCAGTACTTGGGAAGCAGAGTTAGGCAGATCCCTGAGTTCAAGGACAGCCTGTTTTACATAGCTAGTTCTTGGACAGCTGGGGCAACACTGAGAAACCCTGTTTCAAACCTAAAACCCCCAAAAAGTCAGTCTGGGGAGATGGCTCAGCAGTTAAGAGTGGTTAACTGCTCTTACAGATGATCCAGGTTCATTCAGTCTCAGCATCACAACCATCTGTAATTCCAGCTCCAGGGAATCAAACACCCTTTTCAGGCACACATGTAGTATGCATACACACATGCAGGCAAAACACTCACACACAGTAGGAAATGTAATAAAAAACAAAATTACTTCTAGTTCACTTAAGGATTCCCACTAGAAGAGGATAAGACGTATCATACTATAATAGAATTGATATATGACTACTTAGATTGATATCCTAAGTATACTAAATGTTTTCTATATTTTTCAGAAATTTTGCTGACCCCCCGTAGAAGAAGACAACTTAGTAAAGTGTCTACTGCCACTGAAGGACTAAGTGAATATATTTAATTTTTAAATAAGCTTAAATCCTACATATTTCTAAAAAGAGAGCAGATCAGTGACTGTTCTCATTAATTAGTTAAAGTGATAACCCTTGTCTTATATGAGATTATACCTACTGAGAAGAGACAACCTTTTCCTCTCTATGGTGTTTGTTTACTTGCTGCCTGACACCTGGGGAATTCTCTCTAGGAAACAGGCATTCCTTTTTATTTATTTTTTTTAACTGGCTTTGTAGATTTTATTTTGATTTTATGTGTATGATTATTTGCCTGCATGTATGTATGTGCACCAAGTGTATGTAGTGTTCATGGAGGCCAAAGACGATGCCAGATCTCCTAAAACTGGAGTTGTAGAGGGTTGTAAGCCACTGTGTAGGTGCTAGGAATTGAACCCTGGTCCTCTGGTGCTCTTAACCACTGAGCCATCTCTCCAACCCTGACATTTATTAAACATCAGATACATGTTAGGTGTTTTATAGATATTATGTCCTTTGATTGTGTTAATTATCATTTAGAAATCACAGGACTTAGATTCAAATGCAAGACATCTAGAAATGCTTGTTATATCTGGTTCAAATTTCAAGAAAGTTATTCTGTATACAAGTACTTCAAAGAGACATTATAGAAGGCTTCTGCTCATAACTACTGAATTTTAAACAATAAAAATTAAAGAGACAAATGGAGTAAATTAAGTTTCTCTTTTAAAATAAAAATCCTTAGTAAGTTAGCTTATAGAATGCTAAGGAATGGGAGATGAGTCAGCTGAAGTGTTTGCTGTACAAGCGTGGGGATCTGAGTCTGGATCTCTAGCGTCACATAAATGCGCGACATGGGGGTACATCTGTAGTTTAGTGCTGGGAGGGCAGAGACAGGCAGATACCTCCCCGAACCAGCAGGCTATCCAGTCCTGCCAATAGGTGAGTTTCAGGTTCAGCTAGAGAACCTGTCTACAAGATTTAGGTGGCAAGCAATAAAAGGAAGAAACCCAACATTGACCTCTGACTTCCATACATACTGATTGATTGATTGTGTAATTTTAATTTAACTGTAAGGTTAGTGTTTTTCACTTTTCATCATTCCAAATTTATCAGAGAGATTTCAAGAGTGTTATCATTTTCTTCTAATCCTAGGAAACTAATACCTTCAGGTTAAGAAAGTGCAGTGGGGTCTCATTAGTGTCACCTGAAGATTAGTAATATCAATGGAGCTACTCTGTTGTTTAGTACAGATTGTGAACTTGTGTATTCCACAAGCATTTTGTCTCATTTAGCATTTATTTGGTTATTTTTACTGCCAAACCTTGAAAGCTACTTAAAATTCACTTTATATATCTTGAGGCTTTCTCTGCATTAAAAGTTATTTGTGGAGCTGTAGAAGTAGTTCAGCAGTTGAGAGTGCTTACTGCTCTTGCACAGTCCATGGGTTTTATTCCCAGTACCCATATCAGGTGGTTCACAACCACCTGTAACTCAAGTTCCAGGGGATCTGACACCCTCTAGTCTCCGAGGGCACCTGCACTCATGTGATGCACATAAACTTATGTAGACTCATACATATACATAAAAATAAATAATTTTTTTTTTAAGTTTTCATAGCCTGGTGGTGGTGGTGGCGCAAACCTTTAATCCCAGCACTCGGGAGGCAGAGGCTGGTGGATCTCTGTGAGTCTGAGGCCAGCCTTGTCTACAGAGTGAGTTCCGGGACAGCCAGGGTGGTTACACAGAGAAAACTTGTCTTGAAAAAACAAAGAGAGTTCTTCATGTAGAGACAGGTGTGGTGGTGTGTTCCCATAATCCAAGCCCCCAGGAGGCAAAGGCATGAGAATTGCTGAAATTCAAGGCCAGCATGGTCTACATAGCAAGTTCCAGACCAGCCGGAGCACACACACAGCCAGATCCTGTCTCAAAAAGTAAAATATAAAACCAACAAAAAGGTTGTTTTTGTAAGTTAAAATTAAGTACAGTGCCACTCTTTTAGATACTGAGTAGCTCAGTCTCCCAAATGCTGGGATAACAGGAATAAAGTGCTGTTCCTGGCAAGGAATACCAATTTTTCCAAATAATAGTTTCTGTAGTAGCTATTACAAAATGGAAACTTTGTCCCATACAGACATGTTGCACTTGGAAATTTTGTTCTTAGTTCAGGATGGTGGTGCATGCCTTTTATCTCAGCACTCAGGAGGTAGAGGCAGGTAGGTCTCTGTGAGTTTGAGGCTACAAAATAAGTTTCAGGACAGCTAGAGCTTTTACAGAGAAACTTTGTCTGAAAAAAAAAAAGAAAAAGAAAAAAAATATTCTTGGCAAGGACTTGACATCAAATTATCAATAGATTTTTTTTTCAGTAGTATCTTCAATGTAAATAAATAACTAAAAATTAGTCTATAATTAATTTATATTGAAAAATAATCAGCAAGCCTCATGTAAATGGGCATAATTATGGTTATATACTAATTATGCAGAGTGATCTTATATACTGTTATGTGACATTGACTTCAAATACCAAATACTTATTTTAGTAGGTTAGACTTAGTTAATTGAAAATAAGCAGTTAATAACTTGCCAGCTTTGTTAGAATTTACAAGAATATTTTGAAGAAGTATTAATTTGAATCTTAATCTCTCTCTTTTTTTGCTTTTTGTTTTGCTTTGTTTTTTTGCGGCAGGGGTGGGAGTGGGGTGGGGGTGGGCAGGGTTTCTCTGTGTTGCCCTAGTTGTCCTAGAACTCACTCCGTAGACCAGGCTGGCCTTGAACTCACAGAGATCCGCCCTGCCTCTGCCTCCCAAGTTCTGTGATTAAAGGTGTGTGCCACCATTGTCCAGTTTAATCTCTCTTTTAAGTCAAACTATGAATATTTAGTATGGGATCATTTTTCCCCTCTTGATTAGTTTCCCTTTCATATTAGGTGTCTCACTACCATTCATTTAACTGTACTTTATTCATGGATTTGAGCCTGTCATTTTGAGGAATACCATGTAAGTATTGATGACTCCTCCAAAGCTCTTTCTAGGATGACTTGCTGTGTTGAGAGAATTTGACAAGTAAAAACTTCTAGAATTAAGCCCTCTCTCATTTTCTTCTGTAACACACAGTGGATATTAAGAATAGCACTGAGGCTGGGTGTGTGACTCATGTCTCTAATCCCAGAACTAAGGCAGAAGGCTCATAAGTTTGAGGCAAGTGTGACTATATAGCAAGACTTTTTAGAAGCCTAAATAATAATAATAATAATAATAATAATAATAATAATAATTTTTAATTGTACTCAAAAGGCCATGTAGTGAAGCCTTGAAGTGCAGAGTCTTTTTCAAAACTACCCAGTCCTCTGCTGTAGAATTTGTAAGTCAGGAAAATGGTAGTATTGGTGGAAATGGGGGGCTTTATGTGAACAACTTTTAAGGCCTTAGTATCCTAAAAGTTATAACCTTCCTAGTCCTGATTACAAGGAGATCAAGTCATTTATCAAATGAAACTTCAAAGAAACTTGGGGTAACAACAGTTTTCCAGCATTCCCAAAACTAAGGTGTAACTTCATATACAAGTTTTGAGATAGTTTTATCAATAATAACTTTTCTATTAATAAGTACTGGTGATTGCCTACTGTATCTGAGATACTCTTCTGAACCTGGGCAATACAGTGGTAACTAAGCTACTCAAAAGTCTCACCCTTCATGGAGCTTGCATTTTAAATACTAACTACTAATAATAACACTGACTTCTCAGCTTCTGCTGGGAAGATGTTCTCTTTTGTTTTAAACCATCGCATTTACCTTAGGAAGGTAGACAAATGGCCAGCACTGTTTGTTTGCAAGTGTCAAATTTTATACATCCATCCCTTATATAGTAAGTAGCATCCTCAAGCAGAAATGCTGAAACGTGTCTCTCTGGCATCTGTCTACAATGCCACACAAGTTATTAGTGAACTCCAAAGTGGGAGGAAACCATTCCTGGGACTGGAGAGACAGACCAGCAGTAGAAGTGCTTGCAGCTAAGCTTGATGACCAGAGTTTTATCCTCAGAACCCGTATCAAAGTGGAAGAAGAGAACTGACTCCACAAAGTTGTTCTCTGTTCTCCACATGCATGCCATGGCATGAGCATGTCCATACATATCACACGCACACACAGTAATAATAAAATTGCTTCCTTATAATTGTCACCAGGAGATAACTGAAATAACTGTTTACCGGCTGTGTATTCTTTCTGTTATAGAAGCTATTCATCAAAAACCAGATAGTCAAAAACTTCCGGGTTTGGGGGAACATGCCCATAATACCAGCATTCCAGAGGCTAAGGCGAGAAGATTCCGAGTTCCAGGCGAGCATGGACTACATAGTGAGTTTGAGGCAAGCCCATGCTACATAGGAAAAGCCTGTCTCAGAAGAAAAAAAGCGAAGAGAAAAGAAAACCTACAGACTTCTTTTTCCATTATGTAACCCATTTTGCTTTCATGTTTTGATAAGCTGAGCACCTCTTATAGACAGTACATCTGTTTTATTTTTTAAGTGAACTTCAAAAGACTTATTAAAAACAATGAAAACTGGTATTCAAAATAACAAATGTTATTCTCTATTCTGTGAAGTTATGGAGCCTTTGAGAAGACTGTATCTGTAAGATAGTTAAGATGTTTGTTAACCATCCTCACAGCAATGCTGCATTAAAACCTAATGTTTATAAACTTGTTTTTTGATTGATAGATGTGGATAGTGTTTCAATGATTAAATTATAATATTAATGAAATTACAGTGGTAGCACCTCACTTAGTGATTTATTAAACTGAAGTAAATGACCATTTGAAAAGTGTCTCTGGCATTGAACTGTCTTATTCTGTAGTTTATATCTAGGGAATAAGTTACACATTTATTTGAGTTTTGGGATTTCTTATTTCAGCAAGTATTAATATATTCTACAATTTCCATTCATTACAGGAAAACGAAGAATTCGTAAAAACTTTACCAAAGAAGAAGTAAATTATCTTTTCCATGGAGTTAAAAAAATGGGAAATCATTGGAATTCAATTTTGTGGTCTTTCCCCTTTCAACAAGGACGAAAGGCTGTAGACCTTGCTCACAAATACTACAAGCTGATCAGAGGCCCCAACTGTGCAGCCATATGACTAGAAGAGACTCAAGTTTTTTGTTTGTACTCTTAAAATAGAATTTCTTAGAAGATATCAAATGTTAACTATTCTTCTAACTCTTAAGAGACAAGATATGAGAGTTAAAATGACTTTTGCGATATAAACTCTTCAAAATGTTACAATAATTTATAAAGCAAATGCGTTTTCAGAAATGTGAAAATTAGATAGAATTTTTCCATGAGGCCAAATATGTTGTGCCTTTAATTTTCCTTATAGTCAAAGAACATAGATCAGAAGAAAAAATTAGCAGCCTTTAAACATTACTTAACGTTATATTGCCATAAATACTATATGAAACATTTGCTTTTCAATATTTTTGCCTAGTGCCAGTGTTCACTCTAGAACTCAGTTTCTCAAGCTGTTCAACTAAGGCTCTCACCCAACAAATAAATGTTTGCCATTTGTTAAATGATTCCTCTTCTAAAGGTCAATTATGAGGTTGTATTAGTACTCTCATATTCTCTGATCAAATTCTCATTTTGCTGTATGTTTACTTGCTTTGTTTATTCATTACATTGTATTGGTTTATCGTGTATTTGGGCACATGTGAAGGCCAGAGAAAACAACGTGCAGAAGTTAGTTTTTCCCTTGCACTCTGTGCATCCTGGGGGTCGAACTCAGTTTGTCAGGTAAGGCAGCGAGTGCCTTTATCCAGCAAGTCATCTTGCTTGTTGCTTTAGTTGTTTTATGGTGTCTCTCATTTCCTCCTCCCGTTTTTCCACATCATTTTTGCCTCTTGTTAATGAGCCTCAGCTACTTCACGCTATAGCAGGTCATATCCTCTGATGAGCTCAGTCACTGTTGGACATACTGTTGTCTATTTGTAATGTATGCCTTAGAAAGGGCTCAAGTTTTCTCCTAAGCTATGCCCAATTTTATGAACCTAATTTTGATGTCTTTTGACCAGCTTTCCAATAACAGCTAATATAGTTACACCTTTTACATTATAATTGGAATCATTTTCAAATAATTCTATCCTGTTGGGTTAGTTTGTGATATGATATGATCTTATGTAGCCCAGGCTGGCCTTGCACTTGCACTCACTGTATACCCTAGAATGACCTTTGTTTTTGTTTAGCAGATCTGGAATTTGCCCCTAGAACATTATGTTTGCTAGTCAGATGTTCTCCCACTGAGTTACAGCTCCGGCCCTGGTTTTGTTTTTGAGACAGTATCTCACTATGCAGCCAGGCTCCTTTTGACCTCATTATTCCCCTGCCTTAGCATCCCAAGTGTTGTTGGGATCACAGGTTTCTGCCTCCAAGGCCAGTTTGTGGGATGCTAGGAATGCATCCCTGCCCCAGCACTGTTAGCTGAGTGGTATCTCCAGCCCATGGATTGTTTTTTGTTAAACTCTACTATAGGACTGTAAGAGCTCATGTTCAGTTTCTCATTTTGTTAGATTTAGTCTGTGCTATTTGTCATCCAGTGTTTTTGGAAACACTTCTGTGTCTGCTTATGTGAGTGTGCTGCTGCACTGTCCTCTAAATATCAGATGACACCCTGAATGGGCTATTGGAAAGCCCTGGCATCTCTGGTAGCCCCTTCTCTCCACACCAGGCCAGCCTCCTCTTTATTTTTCAGACAGCCTTGTGCAGACCAGACTGGCCCTGAATTCTAGCTCTTCCTCCCTTAGCCTTCTCAGTGCCAGGGTTATAGACATATGCCACCACCAGGGGCTGGCCTGGTCTTTAGCAAGCTCAGTGTTATCATCCAGCCCATTTTTTTTAATCCTCTTTTGTTGTGAATTGTTCAATTCTCTGTTAAAATTTGCATTCCCTATCTTTGCAGCATCCTCCCACCTGGTATTCCTGCAAGAAAAGAAAGCTACTATATGCATTTACATCTGGTGCTATCTTCTCCTTTTGCAACTGGTCACAGAGAATTTCATGTAGTGGGGATTAAAGCTTATTGGCCCAGAGTTTTCAACTCTACTGTCCTGTGAAAACTCATACTGCTTGTCCTTGTATGATTTCCAGTATTGCCTGCACTTCCCTCCCATTTTCCTTTTTCCAATTTACATTCAAAATGGCAGATTGTATGCCCTTGTTGGGTCCTGTCATTTATGCTGCTAAGTTTTTTGGTAGAGCCAGAATCACTATCCTTTACACCTGGAACCCACTTAGGTGATTGCTTTTCCCGTCATACCACTTTTCCTTGTATTTATCAATGCTTGTAAAGTTAGCCTCCTTCCATAGAGAACAGTAAGAGCCCTCAGGTCCAGACCATACCTTAATTTACCTCTGATAAACACAAACATTTCTTTTTCTTCCCCACTACTTCTGTTCGACATTTCTTCTTTACCTTTTCACATCCAGTCTCTCCCCCACTACTTTCTCCAATGAAGGAAAGCAGTTACAGCCAATTGTTCTGCTGTCAAATGTTGACTCCCTAAAAGATAGCATTTAAAAAAACTTGAAGCAAAGCCAAGAGTATTGTTAACTGGTAAAAAAAAAAAAAATTATTCACAGTTAGTAGTCTACAGAGGAGATGAAAGACAACAATTGAGGATTTTTGTGATATTCTATGAATAGACATCTTGAGAATTATGCCAGATTCATTATATAAGAATTCAGGAATAATGACCATGACTGGGATGTTCTAGCACTGGGTCTTGGGACTGTGTTTCAGACAAGGTCTTACTAGCTAGCCCTAGCTAGCCTTTAACTTGCTATGTAGACCAGGCTGGCTTCAAATTTACAAAGATGAACCTGGCTCTCTCTCTCTCTCCCAAGGGCTGGAATTAAAGGCGTGTGCCACCATGCCAAGTCCATTTTAACTTTATTATTATTTTTTTTTGAAGCACTGTCTCACGTAGCTTGTGCTCAGTTTAACTTGCTTGCTATGTAGTCTAAGACCTTGAACTTCTGATTTCCCTACTGCCAGATTCCCGTTGCTAGGATGACAGGCAGGCATGCCCAGTGAGTTGTTTTTAGAGCGTCTTTCATGGTAGACCATATCCCAGCCCTTTTATATTTCTGAGCTATAGTTTCCTCACTTCACTTATTAAGAGTTAAGCAGGATTCGATGGGGTAGCTTGTGACACACAAGGTGAGACATAAACGGGACTGTCTTCTAAAGCTTGGGCTTGCACCTTCTAAGCCTGCAGGAGTCGCCCTAGCGCATCCAGTTGGGCGGGGCCCGCGGCTCCACCTCCCGCGTAAGGCTGTCCGGCTTGCTGCCTGACCGAGCAACCTCCCTCGCTGCGGCGCTTCCCCCACCCGCAGACGCACGCGGACATCGCCGGCCCGTCGGGACGCGCTGGATAGCGAAGGTTCTGCGGTTTGGCGGGCGGGCGGCGCGGCCCGGCCGGGGTCCTTGCGGGTCCTCGACCGGCCCGGGGGAGGGCCCTCTTTGTGGCTGCAGTTGGCAAGATGGCGCCGGTGGGGGTGGAGAAGAAGCTGCTGCTGGGCCCCAATGGGCCAGCGGTGGCGGCCGCCGGCGACCTAACCAGTGAAGAGGAGGAAGGCCAGAGTCTATGGTGAGGAATGTACAGAGCCACGGGTGGCGTGGCCGGGCAGAGAGTGGGCCGGAGCGGGCGGTACCGTGGGCAGACATTGACGGGCCGAGCGGTCCTGGGCGGTCCCGCGCTGACCACTCTTGTCATTGTCGCCGCAGGTCTTCGATCTTGAGCGAAGTGTCCACCCGCTCCAGGTCCAAGCTGCCGTCCGGCAAGAACATTCTGGTGTTCGGTGAGCAGCCGGGTACTGCCCTGGGGCGCCGGGGTGGGCCAGGCAGTGCCCCTCCCACAGGTTCCTGCCTTCTCCACCCTTACTGCCTGCTTGTTGCTGGCCGGCCGGGGAGGCTACCCTGAACTCTAGCAGGGCAGCCGGAGAGTCTCCAAGCCCACACCTCTCCTGATCCCCAGAATGCAGGTCCGTTTGGAGTCCAGTGATGTGGCGCATTCCTTCAAATCATTGGCTGAGCCTTCAGCCTTGATCATCTTCATCACTTAGTCTTGTGCTCACCAAGTTGAGGGTGTAGAGAAAGGGAAAAGAGGATGTTCAGGCTGGATGGAGATGGGGGAACTAGGTGACCTGTGCTGGGAACTGAGAAGTCTCGAAGCCTTTCTTCAGCCCTCGTGGACTGTTGAGCAGAGGCACAAGGGACTCCCCAAAGGCAGCAGACCTTGAGAGTCAGCCCTAGGAACTTTCTTGCATTACTCCTGCGGTCACTGCTAGGTTGCCAAATCAGTCATTTAACCTCTCTGGCTTCAGTTATCTCATACAAATGAGAGGGATTAGGTGCGTTCACACGCAAAGCTGTTGGGGTTGGGGTGAGGGCTGAGCAATGGGACAGCACAGCCGAGCTTAGACACTCTGCAAGAATCCCAGTCTAGCAGGAGGCAGATGTGTGCGTGGTTGCCCTGCATCTTTCCTGTCAAGAGCAGACTGTTGTGGGTGCATCACACCGCTTGATGTGTTGAAAGAACTTGTGGAGTCGGGTGTTTTGAAGGGTAACTGTTTAGGTGCAGGCACATAGATTAGTTCTTTCCTGAGGCTCCTGCTTTTCACAGATTTTATCTTCCTGTACCCTTCCCCAAGCCTTTAGGAAATAACCGCCTGGTGGTTTCCCAGTGTCTCATCCAGGTAATGGCCTGTGTGGTAGGTTATAGCCAGATATGGGCTTTAGGGAAATAGCTCGGGCTGCAGAGTGCTGGGTAGATGAGAATGAGCAGGTGCTGAAATGAGGCTGACACGCACTCACCATGGTCTAGGTGAGTTGTGGCCAGCATGAATCCAAGGGTCTTTAGTAATAGTGGTTCTGTAGAGATATTGTGTGTGGGAGGGTGTTGGATATAGATAGTCCGAGGGAGATGAGAAAGCGTTTGGTACTGAGACTATACTTAGGAGTTTTGCTTAGGTCAGTAATTACTTTTTCCCCAGCTTCCAAGCCTTTAGGGTGCTTGTGAAGATGTTTCAAAATCAGATGCATGTAAATAATATTTATAATAATATTTATAAACTTTATGATTATGAGGCAGAAGCAGATTTGTATGTTGGATTTTCAAAACACGGTTTCTCTGTGTGTGTACCCCTGATAGTTCTGGAATTCACTGTGTAGACCAGGCTGGCCTCGAACTCAGAGATTTGCCTGTCTCTGCCTCCCAAGTGCTGGGATTAAACCCGGCTCAGAATCAGAATTTTAGTTCAGTGTTCCTAGACTTTTGAGGTTAGTTGTGTTTCGAAGAGTTCTTTCTTTTACTGTGGTAAAGATTTATTTTGTGAGAAACTAGTCCCACCTTTGATGTTCACTTCTCTGAATGTCTGTCTTAGAAACTTAGAGCTAGTGGATTTGCCTTATTCCTTCCCTTGGGACGTTAAGAGAAACGCAGTAGAGGGTTCTTTGGAATCTTGGGCTGGCTGTCTTTGCCTCTCCTGGGCACTCTTAGAGCAGATTTACTTTGTTGATGGGAGCTGAGGCCTTAGTGGCAGGCTTGCTTCAGAGTCTTAGTCGTTTCTTATTGTGTTGATGTTATGACTTGCCATCTTTGCCTAGCATGACACACAGTACATTTTGTCTTTTTGTGAATGTCACTTGTAGGAGAAGATGGTTCTGGTAAAACAACTCTCATGACCAAACTACAAGGAGCAGAGCACGGCAAAAAAGGAAGAGGCTTGGAGTATCTTTACCTCAGCGTTCACGATGAGGACCGGGATGGTAAGTGACCTGTTACTCCATTGTAAAGTGACATGCAGCACTCTGGCTCCTAATGCCTAGACCTTCCCAGCGCTCTGTTAGAGCTGAAGAGAATGGCGAAGTGTTTGTCTTTGCAGGACTTGATTCACTTTTAGTCTGGTCTTGTTTTTTTTGAGATAGGGTCTTACGATAATGGTCTTGGCAGGCCTGAAACTCACTGTATAGACCAGGTTGGCCTTGAACTCTCAGAGATGCTACTCCGTAATAACTCCTTTATAATTTTTCAGGTTTTACAGTCAGATCTTTTAGTGACTGTAGAATAGTTATCAGTGCCTATAGTCTAAAGATGAAGTGTGTTGATTAATCTCATTTTCTATATTTGCCTTTGCCTGTTTAAATACTAGTGATCATGTTGTTAGGGTGATTTTATAAAACTACCCTACTTTTCTTATTCCTAAATTGAAGAAGATAAACCAAAAAGCCTCTGGCACTACAATCCTGCTGTCTCCAAGCTATTGAGTAGAGGACACGGGTAGGGGCTCTTCCTAAAGCTCGGGCATGTTTATATGCTAATTTAGATCTCAGGGATTTTAGCCCCATTGCCTTGACTTTGTCTTTTTGAACATTTCTTAAAGGTCTTGAAAAGAATGCAGCAAGTAGGCCTGGTGTCAAGGCTTCTTGTCTTCTGTCAGAAAAACAGGCATTGAGTGTATGTCTCGACTCAGCTGTCTATGCTTACATGAGTGAGGCCACTAAACCAAGCTAGGGGACCTTGAATGTTTGCATCTTTTGCTTCCTGCCTTTGTAGGGTGCTATGGTTTTTGTGGGAAGACCTTGGGCTTGGGAGCCAGACAGAACTGGCTCAGAATGCCACCAGTTATGGTAGCCTAACCACCCTTCACTTCCATTTCCTCATATGAGGAGGAAGATGATGGTACATTTTGCAGGTGGACAGAGTGTGGGAGTGGGATAGGATCACTGGAGACATGGAGAGAGGGCAGACCGGTGTAGATGCTCTGAATCTCTGTGTCCTCTGTTTTTTCCAATACTGAGGCACATTGCAGGACAGAGCGTCCCAATAACCACATTAGTTGGCTTTGAGTTGAAGTTTATGCTGATATCTGTTTCAGATTCCTTTCAGGTCACTACTAGACCTTTTTCCTTGCTGCATTTATAGAACTTTTCTTTCAGCTACTTACTTGGGCGTCCTTGTCTGATGGAAGAGTTGCCCTTGCCTGAGGTTAATTATATATCTTTCAGCCCTAGTCTTTTTAATGTGTGGTATGACTGGATTGTAAGTACACCCTTCACAGATAATCACCTGCTAAAGAAAATAGTCTCTGGTTATATCTGGGTTGTGGTAGGACATCCCATGTCAAAGGACCACTGCCTCTCAGTTAGATATCCGTCTAATGCTGCGTGGCATATGTGATTCCCACAAATGGGTGAGTGATGCATAGTTGACACTGGCAAGGAAAGCCGAAAAAAGAAACTATACTTGCTGATGGGTAGGCATATAAATCTCATATGTCTGGAGTTGGTTCACAGACCCAAACTAAAATATACTGGAGTTTTGGAACCAGTCAGGTAGCTCAGCAGATAAAGTTACCTGCAGCCAAGGGAGCCTGAGTTTGATCCCACTTGATGGAAGGAAAGAAGTGACTCTCCACAGGCAGTCCTCTGACTTCACTGTGGATGTGTGCACCTACACATATCCTTCACTTATTCTCTCAAGGGCACACGTAACTCTAAATGTATCTTATAAAGTTTTTAAATAAGAGCTGGAGAGATGGATCACTTGCTACTCTTCCAGAGGACCCATTCCAGCACTATGTTAGTTCAGTTTCTAGCACCCTGTTGGGTGGCTTATAGTGGTTTATAACTCTAGCTTCAGGGGATCCAAGACCTCTGGCCCGAGAGCACCTGTATTCTGGCGCACATAACTACATGTAGGCACACACACACCTATATAGAATTAAAAATAATAAAAATAAGTCTAAAATTTTAACATAATTTAGAGGTTGTAAATACAGATGTGGATACTTTTATGTTCAAATTCATCAAAATACATTTTTATAGATACTAATAATTTGGTTATATCAACAAGGAAGCTAAAGAAAAGTAGGTTTTAAAAGTATATGTTGGAAAGGAAATTAATGAAATGAAAATTTTGATGTTAGGAGTTCCCTCTCTCAAGATACTTTTATAGAAAAAATAATTTTTAAGGAATATACATGCATATAGATATGTATGTATATATATGAACGTATATATATGAAATTTTCTAAAAATATCCTATAAATTTAGAGAATTACCTTCTATAGTTGAATTGTCACACTTACCAGTTATTGGTACATTTTATTTCAGCTGTATCTTAAGATCTCCCTGTAGTCCACATTGGATTATTTTTTCTCCAGTTTCAGACATTAATACCATTTCATCTGTAAATATTTCTATATGTATATCTAAAAGATAAAGATGCTTGGAGTAGATGACTTATTATTCTAATAACTATAGCTGCTTAGTGTGCCACACAAAAGGGTTTAGTCAGCTTGTTCACCACCTCCCAGATTGCTGGTGTCTTGGGACAGTAGATTACTTAGACAATTCATCAATAAACGTTAGTGTCCTTCGGTTGTTACTGAAAGCAAATTCCTTTCACTCCTGCTCCTTAGAATCTGCTGAAATCTTAGAGGCTAAACTTTAACAAGTCTAGGCAGTTGATTCTGTGTAGGCTGGTTTGTTGGCTGCTGGGTAGACCCTGCTTGGGCTGGGATTTCTGTGTGGATTCCTTCCCTCCCTAGTGCTGCTGTTCTTGTCTGCAGACAGGCATTGTTAGGTGATGGGGTGCATCATTTCTCTCCGCAGACCACACCCGCTGCAATGTGTGGATCTTAGATGGAGACCTCTACCACAAAGGTCTGCTGAAATTCGCAGTTTCAGCTGAGTCTTTGCCGGAGACCCTGGCCATTTTTGTTGCAGACATGTCTAGACCTTGGACTATAATGGAATCTCTACAGAAATGGGCTAGTGTTCTACGTGAGCACATTGACAAGATGAAAATTCCACCAGAGGAAATGAGGGATTTGGAACGAAAATGTGAGTAAAATTTACTAGTCTCTTTGGATTATTGGGGCCACTTTCTTTTTCAGCCAAGAGAGTTTACTTGGCATAGAATCTGCTTTTGTTCTGAAATATTTTTCAGTTATTGAAATTCAGTTATCAAGAATAATTTGAAGGGCTGGAGAAGTGATTTAGTGGTTAAGAGTACTTGCTCTTCTTGCAGGGGACCCAGTCTCAGTTCCCAGTACCCTTATTAGGTAGCTCACAACCTCCTGTAACTTCTGTTTCCAGGGCATCTGGTCACTAGCATGCATATTGTGTATATATAGTCAGGCATTCAAGTGTATGCACACACAAACACGGATGGATGGGTGTCGTGGTACGTGCCTTTAATCCCAGTACTTGGGAAGCAGATCTCAGTGAGTTCAAGACCAGACTAATCTACATAACAAGTTCCAGGTCAGCTATAACTATATAGAGAAACCCTATTATTAAAAAGAGAAAGGAAGGAAGAAAGAAAAAGAAAAGAAGAAACTTGAAAGATTATCAATGTTTTGTTTCGGCTATGTTTTCAGAAGTCTCAGTTCATGGTCACTTGGCTGTTTCTTGGCCTGTGATGAGGCCTTCTTATCATTGCAGAAGGGAGGCAGAGAAGGGTGGAGTAAAGGGGAAAGGGTAACTGTCAAGTACTGTCTGCAGTGCCTCCTTCCTTCCGCTTGGTCCCTCTTCTAATAGCCATTCAGCCGAATGCATATTGCAGAATCCTCTGAGAGCTTCCATCCAGTGCCGTTTCCATCCAGCCAAACATAACTCAGTAATACCACCAGCTAGGGACAGTCTTTGGGAACATTTTTTTTCCAAACCCCAAACCCACGTTTCTTGAATCCCATAGAGATCCCATGTCTCCTTGTTGATGGGTTTAATAAAAGTCTAAAGAAGAGAACTCTTTCATTTCCAACTAGTTCATTTTAGAATCTAACAAATATGATTACATTCAGGAATAGGAAAATTGGCTTTTGTGGGAGGGGTCATTAAAATACAATAAAAGTTATTTTAGGGTTAAAGACATATGAATCCTTCTGAGGACAAAGAACTTTCAAATTAAAGGAAGTTTGGTGGATTTTCAAATGTGGTTCAGAAGCTTGTTTTTCCTTCCTTTGCTTCTGTGCAGTTACATCAGCTTCTGTCCCTTTGCCAGGGAAACGGGAGGGGCAGGCAGTGGAACCGGCAGCCGCAGCGTCTTGGCCAGTGGAAGCTTGGCTGCCTCTGGCTTAGTGCCACAGGGTGACATCACTCCCTTTGGTGGATTGACAAGGGCTCCGGAGCATGGCACATAACATAGTATCTGTACACTAACTAGCAAGAGAGTTCTGAGTTTGATAGTACTTTTCAGATTGAATTTTCTACTGCATGTCTTCCTGTCCCACACTTCATCTTGTCCCTATCCATCATTAACTAAAACAGGCAGCTTAACACCTTATTCTTCCCTTTGTTGCATGTGTGCTTCCTGGCTCTTCCGTATGTGGGTATAGTGATTATCATGCAGTTCAGCTCATCTGTCTCCAGCCACTGACCCTTTTCGATAATGCCTACTTTTCTTGCAAAACAGAGATGTTAAAGACAACTCAGCAGAGTAGTTCTGAGGCTGAAAAGCTGTTTCTAGATCACTGTACACAGATTCATACCCAGACTAGTGAACTAATGTGCTACAGACTTCAGTACTCTGAGCACATTTTCTTGAATTGATAACCTTATAGAGATTTATGAAACTAGAAAAAGAGCCACATTGGCCAAGGGTACCGCTTTTTCTCAGATGAGGAAAATGAGGAACAAACTAGGTGTTATGGTAGGTGCTGGGGACACAGTAGACAGGATACCTATTCTTGGAGAGCTTGTGGAATGAGACACTGAATTAATTTAATGGTCTTAGTCACTGGTGTCTGTGCCATTGAAGACTGGATTCAGCGACATATGACAGAACCCTGGAGAGGAAAATGACTTCAACAAGACTGGAGTTTATTTCTCCTGAAGATGAGACCAAGAGCGAGCAGCTCTGGGAAGACAGCTCCAGAGCCCTGGCTCACTGTGCTTTCCGCTTTGTCATTTTGAGGGTGTGGTTCTTTTCCTCCTGACAACCAGAACGTTAGCAGCCTGTCTGTGTTCCAGGAAGGCAATGCTGAGGTGCACGAGCCTCCTGTCTTAAAGAGGATGAGAGCAGAGTCTTCTTGGTTATTTACAGTGTGTGCACGTGCACATGCAGGAGGACTTCCACTACAGGTGCTAGGGGTTGACCTCAGTGTTTCACAGGGAGCACTTTGATCTGCTGACCCCCCTGACAGTCCAGAAAAAGTCTTAATTCTGTGTGTTCTGAGCAGGGTTCTGTTGGGTTAGGGGAAGAGGAGAGAACATGTGTATATTCTGGAGGGTATGTAGCAACTACTGAACCATGTCTATGTCTGAGGGTCTCTGCTTTACTGTCCCTGGTCTTTGATGTTTGGAGTGGTAGCTAGGCCTGTGCTGCCTGCTGAAGGGGTGTGTCTGTTCACGCTGGTTTTAGCTTACTTTTAGGGAAATAGTTAGTTGTTGATATTCTTCCTCAGAGGACTGCTGCCTTCCAGATTAATTAGACTCTTCACTATTTTCTTATTAAGATATATTGTATTTTCAATTATGTGGGGAGGGGCACAGTATTTATTCATGTAAATACAGATTCCGGCAGAAGTGTTGGAGCCTCCTGAAGGAGGTTGCTAGGCAGTGCTGGGAAGTGAACTCCAATCCTTTTTAAGAGTAAAATGTGCTTTTAACTCCTGAGTATCTCTCCAACCCCCTGTAGTATTATTTTCAAGTAAACACTGCTTTACAGTCCAGCCTCCATCCCAGCCTGTCAGATTGGAACTGCTTTATGATCAGCCACTGGAGCCAGAGCTGGCCAAGGGAAGCAAGTCCTAGAGCCACCAGAAGGAGATGCTTGTTTGTAGGTGTGGTGGACTAATTATTGTTATTGCTGAGACAACAGGACAAAGATATTGTAAAGAAGGGTTTTTGTTGTTGGTTCTTCTTTTGCGGGGAGGGGGGCTGGTGGTGGTGGTGATGGGGCTCTTTGAGGGAATACAGTCTATCATTGTTGTAGGAGGCCGCTTGTTTGTTCCCAGCTGCTCAGCCCCGAAATAATCACACAGAAACCATATTAGTTAGTTAGTTAGTTTGTTTATTTAGTCTTCTCTCATATATTATATCCCAACTGAGTTTCCCCTCCCTTTTCTCCTTCCAGCCCCTCCCTTTGACTTTCCCTCTCCCTCAGATTCATTTTTCCTTTGTTTTCCTTCAGAAAAAAGCCGGCCTCCCAGAGATATCAACCAAACATGGCATAGCAAGTTGCAATATGACTAGGCACATACCCTCATATCAAGGCTGAACGAGGCAACCCAGTGGGAGGAAAAGGGTCACCAAAGACAGTGAAAGCATAAGAAACATCCCTGACTCTCACTGTAAGGAGTCCTAGAGGAACATCAATCATAACATATGTGTGAAACCATATTATTTAAATCACTGCTGGCTCATTAGCTCTAGCTTCTTATTTGCTAACTCTTGTATCTTAATTTAACCCATCTCCATTAATTTGTGTATTACCATAAAGTCGTGGCTTACCAGGAAAGTTTCAGCGTGTCTATCTCCATGGCTTCTCTTGACTCCACCTTCTTTCCCCCAGCATTCAGTTTAGTTTTTCCTGTTTAGCTCTACTCTGCCATATCAGGCCAAGCCAGTTTCTTTATTCGTTAACCAATAAAAGGAACACATATGCAGAAGGACCTCCCACACCACATCATGGCAAGGAAGGAGAGCATGGAGTCAGGAATGTAAGGCTGTTGTTGGTCACAATACATCTGCAGTCAGTAGGCAAAAATGAATATTAACTAGTACTCAGCTTGTTTTCTCTTTGTTTTTATTGTTGTTGTTTTTATGTAGTCTAGGAGCAGGGATTGTGATATGGAGACGTGGTGAAAGCTTTCCTACCTTTGTGAACGGGTGGACTAGCATAGATGCTCTGAATCTCTTTATTCCTAAACTGTAAACAAACCATAGATTGTCTGGAAGCACCCTTACCTGCACACCCCAAGGTGTGCTGCATCCAGCAGCAAGTGGTCAGTGAGGTAGAAAGAGGGGAAACCACAGCAGTGAAGCTAGAGTAGTGGGGACTCCCTTCAACACTGGGCCTTAATGTTTTCTGGGGTGAAGTGTTGGCTGCTTCACTGCCTGTAGAGAAAGTATTACATTGAGCTACATTTTACATTCAGGATTATGGTTCTCATTTTTTGTAATCCACCTTTCTTCATTTTTCTGTATGTTATGTATATTTTCTGTCTTCCAATCTGTTTTCTACAATGTTCTATTTAAAATATGTGAATTTCCTACTCTTGTTGAATAGCCAGGGTTTGTTTTTATTTTGTTTTGTTTTGAGACATGGATCTCAATTTGTAGCTTCAGCCGGCCTGGGAGCTGGCCTGGGACTTACAGAGATCTGCCTGCCTCTGCCCTGTAGTGCTGGGATTAAAGACGTGCCACCATGCCCAACAAATAGTCCAATTTTTCAATCATTTAGAACAACAGTTTTCAGCCTGTGGGTTGCAACTCCTTTGGGGGTTGAGCAAATCTTTCACAGGGGTCTAATAGCAGATATTTTGCGTATCAGCTATTTACATTACGAATCATAATAGTAACAAAATTACAGTTATGAAGCAGCAACAAAAATAATTTCTTGGCCTTCCATAGTGCTTTATTTACTTATTTTATGTGTGGATGTTCTACATGCATGGTCTCTGTGCACCATATGTGTGCAGTGCTCATGGAAACCAGAAGAGGGTATCAGATCCTTTTGAACTGGAGTTATAGGTGGTCGTCAGTTGTGTGGGTGCTGGGATTCAAACCCAGGTGCTCTGGAAGAGCAGTCATTTCTCCATTCCCTCCCTCTCCTCTCCCAATACTTTGGTTACGTTTACTTTGCATGGTTTTGGTGAAAGTATAAATGGCCTTAGGCCTTTTTCAGTCCTGTTGGGTTTATTAGAAAATTAGAGCTGCCTATTGGCTCCTAAGCCTGGAGGGGCTTTGTCCCAACACATGAAGATCTAGGTTTGGTGGCTCACAGCTATAATTCTAACACTCAGGAGTCAGAGGGAGAGACAGGACAATTGCTACAAGTTCAAAGCCAATCTGGTCTATATGGTGAGTTCTGGGCCAGCCAGGGATACATAGCGAGACCCTTTTCAAATACAAAACAAAGCAAAATCAAGCCCCATCATTGGAACCTATACATGTTCACATATAGGTTCAGGTCTTCAGCTACAGCCGTTGGCTTCTCCACCAGTGCCCTTCTTCTTTTTGTAAAGACTTGTTTTATGAGTGTTCTACTTGCACATGTATGTAGACTACTTGTGTATGTAGACTACATCCATGCCTAGTGTTCATGGAGGTCAGAAGAGGCTATTGGATTCCCTGAAACTGGACTTCCAGATGTTTGTGAGCTTCCACATGGGTGCTGGGAACTGAAGCTGAGTCCTCTGCTGAATCAGTCCTCTGAGCCATTGCTCCAGCTCCCTCAGGGGCCCCCTTTAACCAAAATAACAGACGTGTTGGTTCAGTTATGTTAGGCACAGATAGGCAGTACACACTACATGTGTAACTCAAGTTCCCCTGAAGACTAAGTTCATAAGAGTAGACACAAGGAGGAATGTGGCTGGTGCTGTGCAGTCACATGATCTCTGTTTGCCTCTGCTATATGGAAAGGAATGCTCTGGGATTCAGATTGTAGACATCCAGTAAGCTTTTCTCATTAGATCCTGACAAGATGTGTTACCGTGATTTTTAATGGTCACCGATAATGAAGTAATAGTTGAACTATCCGTACTTAGAAAAATGTTTGACACATGAGAAAAGTATATGTGAGGGAATTATTGGTGGTGGTGTTCTTCATTTTATTTCACTTGGTATTTTTTAATTATAGAAACTAGTATGAACTTAAGAACTTTAAAAATTTGGGCTAGGGCTCAGTGGTAGACTGCTTGCCTAGCACATGAAAAATCACAAGATCGAGTCATAGTACAATTTTTAAAAACAGAACTTTAAAAGCCTATTTAGGGATTACATGAGACTGAAGGTGTTAAGAAGTTCTACTGCTCTTGTAGTTCACAGCTCAGTAGATGTGAGGCACCAGATGAGAATCTGGCACTTTGCATCACGATCCCTAGACCCTCATGATCCCTAGACCCTAAAGCTGCAGCCTGTGCCATGCATAAATGCTTTTTTTTTTTTAATTGTTTACTACCTTTCTTCCTAATTTTTTAAACCTATGGTATGTTTTTATTTGTGTCTGTAATTTTTCTCTCTTTTTTTTTGTAGTTATGAAAGATTTTCAAGATTATATCGAGCCTGAAGAAGGTTGTCAGGGTTCCCCACAGAGAAGAGGGCCTCTGACCTCAGGCTCAGATGAAGACAGTGTTGCCCTCCCTCTGGGTGACAATGTGCTGACTCATAACCTGGGGATCCCAGTGTTGGTGGTATGCACAAAGGTGCGTCCAGGGAATTGTAAGTTTGGCTGGGTTTGACCAGTGAACAATCAGCATCTCAAAGTTTCAGAAGCTTTGATGAAGTTTCTTCTTGAGGGAGAATTGGGCTTATTCGGGATTCATTAAGGTACATTGAATGTGTCAGGGTAGAACATATTGTCATTTAATGCTGCTGCAAACTTGACATCACTTAGTTCAGAAAGCCCTATTTGACTTCATGGGCAAACTTAAGTGAAAGCAGTTTTCTTAAGGGTCTGTAAGCCAGTGCATCTGGTCCACACTGACAGTGAAAATAGGATGATGAAGTAGAAATAGAAATTAAGCTTAATTTTAGAGAAGGTATGTCTTCTATATATGAGGGGAAAGTAGCTTTTTTTAAAAAATTATTTATTTAACTTTATTTCATGTGCATTGGTGTGAAGGTGTCAGATCCCCTGGTACTGGAGTTACAAACAGTTGTGAGCTGCCATGTGGATGCTGGAATTTGAACCCGGATCCTCTGGAAGAGGAGACAGTGCTCTTAACCTCTGAGCCATCTCTCCAGCCCCAAGGGGAAAGTAGCTTAATTAAAAACATTTTGGATTTCAAAAGTGCTTTATTCCTAAGTAAAAGCTACGTTGTTGTGCAGTGCACAGCAGTGTGAAGTGCAGTGCACAGCAGTGTGAAGTGCAGTGCACAGCAGTGTGAAGTGCAGTGCACAGCAGTGTGAAGTGCAGTGCACAGCAGTGTGAAAGGACCTCTCTCCCAATGTGACTTTATTTCCTATTGAAAACAATTATGAGGTGATCAGGCTTATTACATCTTTGCTTTGTGTGTAAACTGAGGCCAGGATAAACGAGAACTCTCTTGTTCTTTTATTCTTCTCTTATTAGTACCTGAATTAGTACCTGGTCACCTGTGCAGTTATTTATGAAGAAATTCCTATTCTATTTTGAGCAGGCAGAAAAGCAGAGAGCTAACGTTCCTCTTGGTTTTGTCTCTCCTGCAGTGTGACGCAGTGAGCATCCTGGAGAAGGAGCATGATTATAGGGACGAGCACTTCGACTTCATACAGTCACACCTGCGGAGATTCTGCCTCCAGTGTATCCTTGGGATGCTGTATCGGGCCCTTCCTCAACACAGAGTAGTCCTTTTTTCTTTTTCACTGCACTTAACTATTTGAAGGGGGCTCATGAGTGTGGTGGTCAGAGAAAAACTTGGGGAATCGGTTATCTCCTTACATCATGTGGGTTCAAGGTCAACTTTAGGTCATCAGACTTGGTAGCAACCACCTTTACTCAATCAAACACTAAGCCATCGTGCCTGTCTCACAGCATAGTTTTTGCCATGGGGAAAAAAGTTGTAAACTTTGCATTAGTTTTATATTTTTCCTATGTTGGAATTTTACATATACTAACTGAAGCATGTCTTTGGTTACTTTGTTAAGTATTACTTTTTTTTGACAGTCATACAATGTCACCCAGGCTGGCCTGGAACTTGTGATCTTCTTCCCTGGCTTCCTGAGTGCTGGAATTACAAGCATGTGCTACCCTGCCCAGTTTAGTTGCTTTGTTTTTATGGCTGTACTTTTTGATAGGCTTTCGTATTAAGAAACTTACACGTGACTATTTTATGACCAAATGACATTGATTGTACTTAGACATCCTGTTAGACTTTGCTCTTATGCAGAGAGGTAGAGTCACCAGCGTGGTTACTGGGTTAGGTACTGCAGATGTTTTCCGTCTTTGTGCCGCTCAGGAGAAAGACACCATGTCAGCAGCCTTTTGAGTCCTTCTGTATAAAGCCAACAGTAGTTGGTATCTTACTTCCACACCCTGGAGTACGAGTGACAAGTGCCTCCTTTGAGCTCTTTGTCGACACTGACTTTGAAGGTGTGCTTAATGATAAACTCATTCCTTTGTGAGCACCTGCCTGGGAAGCAATCTGTGGACCTGTATAGGCTGAGGGTGGTGTTCCACTGATTTTGCTTCTTAGGAAGCAAGCTCAGAAATGACAGCAGTCTAAGTGCTAAAGGAAAATAGCTGCATCCTACACAGCCTCTGCATGCTTGGAGTATTTATTATGGTTTCTCTGCTCCTGTCCCTTTTTAGTTTTTAAATTTTGCATGCTTTGTCATTTGCATGTGGATAAACAACAGATCACCTAGCCCTTTAAGGATTATGTATATGTGTGATTGGTTTTTGTCTCACAATGAATTGGTTTTCCTTAAGCAAATTGATAAGATGGAGCTGCTTTGATTTACACCTCAGTGAAGGAAGAGAAAAACCTTGACTTGCTGTATAAGTACATTGTTCATAAAACATATGGCTTCCACTTTACCATACCCGCCTTAGTTGTGGAAAAGGACGCAGTTTTTATGTGAGTGCTTTGGAGGTGATGGCGTCTAAGCCCTTCTCTCTATAGTGCATTTGCTACTTATGTCATGCCTTTTCAGTGTAGTGCTTCTGTCTGAGAGTGCCTGGGCTCAACCTGACCCTCTCTGCTCCTTCTGGGCTCACTCACGGTTTAAGGGAATTGGGTGGTGTAGTCAGAGGAGCTGCATTCCTTCATTGAAAGAAGGTAGTCAGAATGTAAGCAAGCCATTTTGTATACTTACTGTCAGTTCTGGTGAAGCATTGCCTGGGGAGAGACTCACAGTATAGAGCTTTCTGTGGATCCTCAGTGGCTTGTGTAAAAGCACTTCATGACTGCTGTTGCCAGGGTGATTGCAAGCCCCTTCTCAGTATCCCTGTCAGTGTGGTTAAACTCTGCTATGTACTTTCTGGAATTTGCATTTTGCAAGCCCCTGGGATTGGTCATTGTGCCAGAGACTTAACCAGCCTGTTTTCTTGAGTTGGTGTCTTTTTTCTAACTAGAGAATCATATTGCCATATACGCATATGACAGTGCTGTGGTCTTAGATTAGCAGATTGATGTAACATTTTCCTGCCTTCTGGACTTGACAGTTACATTTGTCTATCAGCAAGCTTTACACAGCACCTCTTAGGTAGCCAGGTTCTCTGTTGGGGACACAGACATGAATGCTACATGTCCCTGTTATCACACAGAGACAGACATATACTGAAGAGGAGGGGGGCAGCAGTGGGCTAGTGTAGTGGGGCCAGAAAGGTCTGCTGCCAAAGTGAGTGGACTGTCTCAGGCAGACCAGAAGGAAGGGGCCAGGACATTCGTGAAAGGATCTGTACAAGAGCCAGGTGCTTCTCGGAAACTAAACAGGCTACCTCCTGTGTGTTTGAAGAGAGTCTCGCTCACATTGTTTCTACTCTGGCTCTGAAGAATCCCCCAGCAGAGTCAGGCACTAAAGCAGAAACTTAATGAATGGCATGCTTCTGTAATCACTTCGTTCCTAATAACATCATCCTAAGGAGCTGGGATTCTGGTTGGATTTAGGGCTCGTGTGTGATGGAGAAGCATCTCATTGCTCTGGAGGCTGCATGTGTCATCTCATCTTTGTCCAGTCCCTTGTTACTGTTGTGTCTGTTGGTAGTTGCCTATGTAGGAATTAGTAAAGTCTACAAGACAGTTTGGGAGAAGCACCCTGGATTGGCACCCTCTTGGGTTAGGTGTTTGGCAAGAGAGGGTTATGAGAACAGTCGGTGGTTTTGGTGTATTTTTATCTAGAGCTTCTTGACCTCAGAATTGTGTCATGTAGAACTGTGTGGTGCTACATTTAAGAGAGTAGAATGGGAACACTCATCAAACCTCGTACCTTCTGCTTGTGATGTTAATCTCTACAACATCCACATGGGAACCTAAGGTCTCCTTGTGTCTCTTGTGGGGAGCCCAGAATAGATAGAGGCCATGATTTCTTCTTTGGCTTCAAGGCACATCTTCCATGCCAGAAAAATTAATGAGCTGTCCCTAAGATAATTGTTATAAAGAAGTGTCCTCAAGAGGGACAAAATGCAAGAGCAGAGCCCAAACCCAGGAGTGACAGCCCTCTCTAGACCGCCTTCCTTTGTGCATTGTTCTAAACAGGGCTGGCTCCTGAAACCTTCACTGGGGCAGTGTCTCACACTGGCGCCTTACATCTAGTATCCCTGAGTCCCGGGAGTAGGATGTGTCACATTGATTTGATGAGATATGCCTGCTGTGCGTCTTGGTATGTACCCAAAGCTACAAGACACTGACAACACCTCTAGATGTAGAGACGTGAGAAAGGACTTTACCCAGGAGTTTCTTTTAATCTGAAATGTCTTTCAGATATATATGGGAAGGCAATCTCAGGCAGAGCAGGCTAACCTGTGCCTCCTTGTCTTTAGACCTGCAGGCTGGGATAATGAAAAGAAAATAGCTATTTTACATGAAAATTTTACAACCGTGAAGCCAGAAGATGCATACGAAGATTTTATTGTAAAGCCTCCTGTGAGAAAGGTACCTTAGTCAGTCTCTTCAAGACCTTACTTAGGTGGTTTTGCATCATGAAAATGAGATCTGTTGATAAGAAGTGTGAGTGAGAGTATGACCATGTCAATTATGGCTGCATTTCCTGTCAAGTCCCACAGTGCTCCTGTCTCTTCTGGATTATTTTTGCTAGACCCCCTCCCTCTGGGGCTCTTGAAGACTATGATCTGGGAGGTACTGTTTAGGACCTACCAGATTTAAGAACATGAATTGGCTACATACCCTGACTAGTTCTGGGAGAGGGTCTGTACCCAGTTAGAAAAATGTAACTACGGTCTTAAGAAAGATCCCCCAAACCCATGTGGAGACCTGGACCAAGATTTTTGTAGCAAGAATTTTGACAGTCATTTGAGAATTTTTGTTGCTTGTGGCCACAAATATGCATTGTTTCACAGCTGGTCCACGACAAAGAGTTGGCAGCAGAGGATGAGCAGGTGTTTCTCATGAAACAACAGGTAAGATGCCTTCTCTTGCATGGAATGCCCTTTCTGGAGGGGGCTTGGGGCCGTATGTGATCGAGAGCTGGCACAGCATGGAGGTTAAGACGAGGTTTCCTCATTCCCTACTTTTTCTATGGGGAAGGGATTGGAGCAGCTGCCTCATGATGCCTGCCTTCATTGTACACTATCCTGCAGGGATGGGATTAGTATGTTTTATGTGTCCTGTTTGCTCTGGGAAGATTTGCTGGCTTACTTCTTGAATTGACAATTTACCAAGTGGCCTGACTTCGCTTCCTTTTTTCTCATAGTGTATAAAAGCAAATAATATACATTTTTGTAGATAAGGAGAGTAATTTTCCAAGCTGTTAACTTTTTTGTTTTGAATATTGGTTTGGGCTTGGTTTGGGGGGGAGGCTGTTTTTATGTTTTGGGGGTTTGTTCCCCCCCCCCAAAACTGTGTTTCTCTGTAGCTTTTGGATCCTGCCTTGGAACTCTCTTATAGACCAAGCTATCCTTGAGATCTATGTGTCTTTGCCTCCTGAGTGCTGGGATTAAAGGCTGTGTACCACTACTGCCCAACTTGTTTTATTGTTTTGTTTTGTTTTTAAGGAAAAGTTCTCATATATTCCTGGTTGATCTTGAACTATCTAGCCAAGGATGGCATTGAACCCTGCCTCTAACTCTCAAGTGCTGGAATAACAGACATATGTCTCCATGCCTGGCTTTATGCAGTGCCGGGAACCTAACTCAGCTTCTTGCATGCTAGGCACATACTCTACCAACTGAGTTACATCCTCAGCCCCAAAGTGACAGTTAATATAACATTTTATTTTTAAAAATTTTTCATGCATACATACAGTGTGTTCTTTTTTTCTTAATTTCATTTATTTATTATGTATACAGTGTTCTGTCTGCATGTATGCCTGCAGGCCAGAAGAGGGCACCAGATCTCATTACAGATGGTTGTGAGCCACCATGTGGTTGCTGGGAACTGAATTCAGGATCTTTGGAAGAGCAGGCAATGCTCTTAACCTCTGAGCCATCTCTCCAGTCCCTTAACATTTCTCTTTGACCCAAATTATTAGACATGTCACCCTCTCCTAATGGTTTGTTCAGGTTAGTTTTTGGCAGTTTCTTCCCAACTCTTTCCCTTTTCTATGGCCTGTTTATTTCCTTAGCTTCCAGACTGGTTACTGGGGGTGTCTTCATCATTTACGAATACTGGCTTAGGTTATTTTGCATTTATAGTGTAAAACATGACTCTATTGTCGTCCTGTAGTACGGTCATAGGAGTCAACCCTTCTCCAGACCTCAGTTCATGCTACAGGCCTTGGTTAATGGCCAGTTTGTCCCTCTCTTTGCAGTCATTCCTTGCCAAGCAGCCTGCCACGCCCACAAGAACCTCCGTGAGTACCTTACACCAAACAGAGGGTCATGGCCTGGTGTTGTGGGTGCCTTCTAACTTCACACCATTATTTGTAACAGTTTATGTTTATGTGGGCTTTTATAAATTAAAGTGAATTGGTCTCCCAAAGACCCACAGCCAGAAATGCAGTAGTCTTAGAAATGCTTGATGAAGGACTACAGCTGAGAACAAGGACGCTTTAAGCTCTTGTCTCAGGAGACTGAGGCATAGAAAGGGACTGAGCTGCGAGCAGACCTCCACTACGCTACTCTAGACATGCAAAAATGTTTTGATGATGAAATTTGTGGGTTTTTTTTTTTGTTATTTTTATATTTATGTGTGACATGGGCTGGTTTTGGACTTAGGAATCTCCTGCCAGAGGACCCTCTGGTTCTCCAAGGACCCAGGGTCGGGGTGGACCAGCTAGTGTGCCAAGCACATCCCCAGGAACATCAGTAAAGAAACCAGATCCAAACATCAAAAGTATGTATGCTGTTTGGGGGAAGATTTTAATCCTTGGCCCAAAGGATTTACTATAATAGTAGCTGGGGCTCTCATGGGATTAGGAACACTGGGCTCTTGTCTTCCAGCAAGGCTGTTACTTCCCAGCAAGGTTAGTCGTGTTCACCTGACATTGTGTAAGACCTCAGACCCTGCAGGTACCTTCAGAAAAGAATGTAATTTAGGAAGTCCCTGAACAATATGTAGAGTTTTATTTCTTAAATTTTTATTAATAGGGCTGGAAAGATGGCTCAGTGGTTAAGAGCATTGCCTGCTCTTCCAAAGGTCCTGAGTTTAATTCCCAGCAACCACATGGTGGTTCACAACCATTTGTAATGAAGTCTGGTGCCCTCCTCTGGCCTGCAGGCATACACACAGACAAAATACTGTATACATAATAAATAAATATTTAAATTTAAAAAAAATTATTAATACTATTTATGAATTGGCGACTTTTTTTCTTTTGTTCTCACCAAATTAGACTAAGGTGTTATCCCGGTGCTTATTGATACCCAAAGATATTGCTACAGTAAACCATCAGAACAAAATTCTGCAAATTCTTGCCTGTTTGGTGAACATGTTTTACTAGAAAATGAGTGTTTCATAACAGGCTGTGAGTCCTATGAAATTATAAAACTAAAAAGCACTATACTAAGGACACAGAGATCCCTCAAAGGTGGGAAGTGTCAACATGTTTTCATTGGTAATCTCATCACTGCCCAGTTAGCCTCAAGTAACAGTGACACGTGAATGTGCTCAGCTAGGAAAGTGATGGCCACGGATGCTTAATTTTAATCTAAGAACTACATCTTCTGTGAAGTCTTCAGTTTGAGTGATATTTTGTTATGTTTTTCTTTTGTGTTTTCTTAGATAATGCAGCAAGTGAAGGGGTATTGGCCAGCTTCTTCAATAGTCTGCTGAGTAAAAAAACAGGCTCTCCTGGAAGTCCTAGTGCTGGTGGAGTGCAGAGCACAGCCAAGAAGTCAGGTAGGGGCCTCATCTGGACAGTGCTGACGGGGTGAGGTGGATGGCAGTGGTTGTCTCCGCCAGCCTGCAGGCCTCCAGTGTTCTGACCAGCAGTGAACAGAACTAAGCTTTATGTTGGCTTTTTATGCTGTGCAGACTTCCCTGGCACATTTACATTTAAAGTGTGATTTAATGTACATTCTGGCTATTGAGTAAATCAGCATAAGGTCTAAGTTGTGCCTGTGCCCTTGATCTGGAAACTCGTTACACTGGAGGTCGTTGTAGAGTATGCTATTGACATTTACTTAATTTTATATGATACTTGAAAAGTTTTTATTTGCTTGAGCTGGAGAGATGGCTCAGTGTTAAGATCATTTGCTGTTCTTGCAGAGGAGTCAGGTTCTCAGTACCCACATAGTGGTCCACAATCATCCTTAACTCTGGTTCCAGAGGATCTCACATCCTCTTCTGAGCTCCTTAAGCACCAGGCATGCAAGTGTTGAGAGAGAGAGAGAGAGAGAGAGAGAGAGAGAGAGAGAGAGAGAGAGAGAGAGAGAGAGAGAGAAATCATTTCATTTGTTCCACTGCCCCTGATCTTACAGAGAGCCTGTGTACCTACACACTTGTCTCGTTGCAGGTTCTCTCTGTGGCGACCCAGCCATCTGTCCTTCCATGTAGGTTGGTAGGAAAAGCTAGTCTTGGAGGTTTCTGAAATAAAATGGTGGAGTCCTTGGGAATCACATACTTTCTTAAGCTAGAGGCCATTTATTTCCTTTCTGTGAGGCCAACAGTCAAACCCAGGAGTTGATGATTACTGACAACCAGTAGAGTATGTTTTAGACTTGCTTTTGTATATTTAGAGACAAGCCTGTGCTGCCTCAAACTCTGGATCCTCTTACTAGGACTGTAAGTAAGCATGCATCACTGCACCCCACATATAAAGGGCATATTCAGCGTGTGTTAATTTGTTTTTTATCAATTTTTTCAAAATAGAAGAGAACATTAGAAGGTTATTTTGTCCTTGGGGTAGTCTGGGCCTCCAACAACTTATAACTTCATAGAGACTCAAGAATCTGATCTAGGCCTCAGCCTTGATGTAGTATTTGCCCCTTACCAGAAATAGAGGTCATTGTCCAGGCCCCAGACATTTCTTTTTTTTTTTTTTTTTTTTTTTTTTGGTTTTTCGAGACAGGGTTTCTCTATGGTTTTGGAGCCTGTCCTGGAACTAGCTCTTGTAGACCAGGCTGGTCTCAAACTCACAGAGATCCGCCTGCCTCTGCCTCCCAAGTGCTGGGATTAAAGGCATGTGCCACCACCGCCCGGCTCCCAGACATTATTTGACAACAGTAATTGGAGCACCAGCTTTGTGCAAGATTGAACTGCCCAACCTCAGTCTCATCATAAAACATGGTACTTCCATGTGAGTCAGTTTAAGCTAAGTGATTTTGTGAGTTTATTTGGTTTTATCTTTCAGTAATGCAAATACTTTGCCAAAGCTACATCATCAGCCCATTAGTCAGTCTGAGGTGTTGCAGCTAGAAATAAAAGCTGAGTGCCTGTCTGGGAAGAAAGTTTACCACATGCCTGAAACTTAGTGATGGCCTCCAGGGAGATGATGGGGAAAGTACTCCCCTACCGCTGCATAACTGGAGGAACATAGGCCTGTGACACTGGCATTAACAAGGTTAGAACTGTCTCCTTGCCCTTGGTGAGAAGGCTTTCTCTTCTTTGAGAATGTTGTCAATACAAATAGTGGCAGAGTCTGTATGATTTTGTCTTTAAATTTTCAAGACAAAGTTTCTCCGTCACTCCAGCTGTCTTGAAACTATCTCTATAGACCAAACTGGCTTTGAACTTTGAGATCTGCCACTCTGTGCCTCCTTAGTGCTGGGGTTAAAGGCTGTCTGTATGATTTTAAATGCTGCTTTTTAAAAATTTTCTCCAGCAGAGCCAGGCAGTGGTGGCGCATGGCCTTAATCTCAGCACTTGGGAGGCAGAGGTAGGCGGATCTATGTGAATTTAAGGCCAGCCTGGTCTACAGAGTAATTTCCAGAACAGCCAGAGATACACAGAGAAACTCTGCCTTGTGGGGGAAAAAATCTTTTCTCACGCTGCTCTCTCTTTTGTTCCCTTTTTTTTTTTTTTTAAGGACAAAAGACTGTGTTGTCAAACGTTCAGGAAGAACTGGATAGAATGACTCGAAAGCCAGACTCCATGGTAACAAACTCTTCAACAGAAAATGAAGCCTGATCCTCCTTTAAAAGTGCATATGTCAAATGACCAAATAACTATGTATATTCATCTGATAAGACCAGGATTTTTCTGATACAGCACATGCTATCAGTTTTTTTGGGTAGGGGAGATGAACTTTTAAAAGAAATATATATACTTCATTGGCTTGTCCGAGTGTGAAATGCACATTTAGGAAGGTTACATGTCAGGCCCCTTGTTAGGGATGTCCCTTGGACCCTGGGGCTGCGGTTCTCTTGTGGGAAGCAAGCGCAGCTGGGCTTCTTTTAGAGTGGAAAAAGGGGGCCCACTTACTATCAGGGTGGAACAAACGAGACTAATAAGTCATTGATGAGATGGTCATAGTTTGACCACTTGCGTGTTCTTGGGAAGCAGATTAAGTAGCAGAAAGTCCAGGGAAGAGAAGTGTTCAGGAGGGATGAGAGAAGTGCTGGTGGGGAAGCCGAAGGTTGAGGGAGGTGGAAGGAGGAAGTGAGTGGCATTAACTGTGCACGGTAGAAGTCAAATAGCATCCTTTAAGACTTAACGATTAGAAGCATTTCCAAACTAAACACTAAACAGAATGGGAATTGGACTTGTTCTGAATGCATCTTTAATTTTGGGAAGTGTGTTTTGTGTGGGGTACCTGAGGAAGGTAGAACTGACACAGGGATGCTGAAATGGCAGCTGCCCAGGACCCACATGCTTGGCCCAGGCCATGTCCTTCTGTCGTTGGAGAAATGCTGGGTCTATGCGTATATAACTTGGGGCAGGTGGTTGCTATGGGTTGTGTTCGAAGTCAGCAGATACAAAATTCGTTTACTTTGAATTAGATATTTCGAATAGCTCCTGCTTTATTTTATTTTATTTTTTTAAATTATTATTTTTAACTACTACAGGCTGGCCAACTAATAGAAAATGGGTGATTGATCTCCCATTTTACCATAATGGCAGTGTGCTATATGAAGTTTGGGGAAGATTTAATGTCTTTGCATTCTAGTTAATAAGCTTGTTCCAATTCCTGCCTTAGAGTCTGTGGTAACCTTCACTGATACAAAAGGTTCTTTCTGTGGCTCTGGTCTGATCACTGCTACCAGACCAACAAGGAAGTGCTTTAATTGAAAATGGAAGTGACAGATTTGTGTTGTCATAAAATGTAGCACTTCTTTTCTTATGGAAGTGAGAGTTTCATGTGTCTTCCATTTAGGGGCATATTCATGCACAGCATCATGTCACACACCACCATTCTGAGAATGTCTTCTGTGGGTTTGAAATAGCACTTTGAGTTTCTTTGTGACACAGCACGTGTAATGCAAACACTACCATGACTTTAATGTATAAAACATTTGTTGTCCAAACCAAGGGGAAAACCACAGTTCACTTCCGTGGAGTTTACTTTTTTATATGAATGTTTGTTACAGTGTGTCTCGGCATAATGTCCCTAATGTCATTACTTTATTTGCATACCAGACTTGACTAACCACTAATGTAGTGCTGGGCGTAAGTTAACATCTAGTTTATGACAAGGCTCCGTGGCTGTCTGGAGTCACTTTGTAAAGGTCTGAACACTGTTAAGGAGAAAGCTGAGTGCTTACTTGCCCCTCTAACAACAAAAAGATGTTTCTTGTGCCCGTTTTACTGTTGAAATATATGTTTTTCCTTTTTAATTCAGTTTTTTGTTGTTATTATTTTGGGGTTTTTATTTTGTTTTTGTTTTAACATGCATTGTTGCTTCAGATTACCAGGTTGTCCAGGCAGTGGCAGTGAACGGAGGGCGTGTAAGCAAGGTGCTGACCTATAGATGGCCCCCTAAAGGCAGGGTCGCTTAATCTCTGCAGCAGCCAGGGCAAAAAGAAAGACCTCAGAAACAAGGAATTCTTGAAAAGACACTTGCCTAGTAGTGTAATTTTTAAAATTTTGATGCAAAATTTTAAATGTATCATTGAATGGTGAAGCACTTTTGTGTTGATGTAAAACATGCTAAAGCCAATCAATGAGTGCTGAGGCCTGGTCCTGGGAAGGCTTCTGGAGACCACTGCTACTTCTTTGACACTTGGGAGGAGCTGGTGCATGTTGCCAAAGTCTACCAGCTTTGGGGAGCTTCAGGGTTCTTTTGGGGTTTGAGGAAATGAGGTGATTTTTGTTATTTTAGGATTCTTAAGCATCGGAACCAAAGGCCAAATAGTAAACAACCTTCACTTTTTAAAGGAAAATTAATTTTATTTGCAGAAAACACTTGTATGGTAGACTATAAAAAACAACTTTATGACTATTTATACATGTTATAGTGATTACCTCTTTGTCTTTAAATGGATAATTTTGAATAAGCCCAACCCACATGAGGGCTATGAATTGGTCTTTCCTAAAAATCCAACAGATAATGCTGCTAGATGGTTTTATTTGCACTTTTTTTCTTCCTTTTTTTTTTTTTTTTTTTTTTTTTTTTTTAAAAGACAGGGTTTTTCTATGTAGTCCTGGCTGTCCTGGAACTTGCTCTGTAGACCAGGCTGGCCTCCAGTTCAGAAATCCACCTGCCTCTGCCTCCCAAGTGCTGGGACTAGAGGCGTGTGCTACAATGTCCAGCTACACCTCTTTTATTACTATTATTGGCATTTTAAAACCAGTATTTAAACTGAAGAGACTGTTTTCTTAACTTGATGAAGTTGAAAGTGACTGCTCTGTACGTCATGACCTAACAATGTTGATGCTGTAAATGAAAGTCTGCTGTTTTCTCTCTGCTAAGTTCATGAGTGCAGTGATCTCCCACTAGCCTGAGTCCAAGGTGTGGCTCTCTCTGGGTGCAGTATGCAGTCATGTGGAGCCTTGCTTTCTAGTGCTGGGAAGATGTCTGATTACTGGCTTCAATAAACATGAATCCAGACTGCTCACAGGTTTTGGTGGCTTTGTTTTTGATAAATCATTCCACTAGGTATCTGTTGCCTTCTGATCATATGGGGGTATATGGGTATGTGGCAGTGCAGCCAAAAATGTGTACCTTGGGCTGGTGAGATGGCCCAGTGCCATAAAACTACCACAAAGCGTGACAATCCGAGTTCAATTCTCAGGACCTATACGGTAGGTAGAAGGAGATTGGCCAAGAACACACACAGTAAGATAAATGTATCTCTCTTACTTAAAATCACCAGAAATGGGGGGGGGGGGGCTTAAGAAATGTCTCAGTGGTTAAGTGCACTTACCGCTCCTGTAGCCTCCAGAGACCTGAGTTCATTTCCCAGAACTTCATCAGGCAGTTCACAGCTGCTTGTAACTCCAGCTTGGGGGGATCAGACAGGTACCCCCACACCCATACACAGAATCAAATGGTTTTTTCAATTTTTTTTTTTTTTTTAATGAAATCGAGTCTGCCATGTAGGTCTGACTGGCCTGGCCCAGAGCTTTTTATCTACCAGGCTGACCTCAAATGTATGGCAATCCTCCTACCTCTGCTTCCTAAATATTGGATTTATAGCATGCCTAGCCAATAATCAGAAATTGTGATAAAAACAGTTAAAGCTATGCTTTAGTGTGGTTGGCCAGGCAGAGGCTTTGTGGCTTGCCTTGTGTTGCTTTCATATTCTGCAGTACATTGAGGATTCATAGAGAAACTTTAAAGTGATGTCATAAGCTTTTCACTGATTTATTTATTCAGGTTTTTTTTTTAAAAAAAAAAAGGATTTATTTTTGCCAGACAGTTATGGCACACACCTTTAATCACAGCACTTTTACTTGGGATCTCTGAGTTTGAAGCCAACCTGGTGTATAGAACTAGTTCCAGGACAGCCAGGGCTACACAGAGAAACCTTGTCTCGAAAAAAAAAAATAATAATAATACTTTTATGTATTTGGGTGGTTGCCTATGTGTCTGTCTGTGCACCTTATGTGTGCATGGTGCCTGAAAAGGCCAGAAGAGGGTGTCAGATCTCAAGACTGGAGTTAAAGTTAGGTTGCATGCGGCCATATTGATACTGGGAATCGAGCCTAGGTTCTCTGGAAGAGTACCAGTGCTCTTAACTGCTTGCTGAGCCATTTCTCTGGCCCCTGTTACTTGCTTTGAGATGGCCTCAGTTTGTAGTCCTGGATGCCTTGAAGCTCACAGAAATTGCTTGCCCCTGCCTGAGTGTTGGGATTAAAGACACGTCCTGCCGTTCCTGGCCTCACCACTTTTAAAGAAAAGTTTTAGTTTTGTTTTGTGTGAATTTGCTTGTATGTGTATATGTTTATCACCTGTGTCTTGGTGCCAACAGAGGCCAGATAAAGGGTGTTGGATCCCTTAGAATTGGAGTTACAGCCAGCTGTGAGTTACCATGTGGATGTGAACCAAACCCTGGTTCTCTGAAACAAGTACTTCTCACTGCTGAACAGTCTCCAGCCTCTCTTTAAGCAGGACACAAATGTGTATAAGGAAGTTGGGTTTGGGTTGGAGCAGTAGCTCATTTCTTAAGACCACACACTGACTTGGAAAGGATTGGAGTTTGACTCTAAGTATCTATCTCAAGGGCTCACGATCACCTGTAACCTCAGCTCCGGGGGACCCTGACACCTCTAGCTTCATGGATACCTGCACTCACATTCACATAATGAAAATAAATGTTAGACCTATTGGCTATAGTGGTGATCACCTCTAATCCCAGCACTTCGGAGTCAGAGGCAGGCCGATCTCTTGAGTTCCAGGACGACTGGGGCAGCAGTTACACAGAGAAATGCTGTCTCACGCCCCCCACCCCCCACAATAAAATAAACATTAAAAGAGAATGTTGGGTTGTCTATATTGAAATACATGAATTCTGGAATTTTTTTTTTTTCAAGACAGGGTTTCTCTGTGTAACAGCCCTATTGTCCTGGGACTAGCTCTGTAGACCAGGCTGGCCTCGAACTCACAGAGGCCTGCCTGTCCTTGCCTCCCAAGTGCTGGGATTAAAAGTGTGCCCCACCACTGCCTGGCAGAATTTTTGTTTCTTTAATTTTGGTTTTGTTTTTTGAGATTTTTTTTTTCTTGTTTGGTAGCCCTGGCTGTCCTGAAACTAGTTCTTCTGATTAAGCTGGCCTCACACTCACAGAGATTCACCTGCCTCTGTCTCCTGAATGTTGGGACTAATGGCGTGTGCCACCACTGCCTGCCATTGTTGTTCTTTTGTTTGTTTTGTTTTTGAGCAGACTAAACAGATTTCTGGTGCTGTGTTCCAGCAAGCCCTATTCACTAATCATGTTTCTGATTATTGAAGTCTTACTAACTTTGCTCCTCAAGTTTTTATTTGAAAAATTACTGACCTGTCAAGCAGTGGTGGTGCATGCCTTTAATCCGAGTACTCAGGAGGCAGAGGCAGGTGAATCTCTGAAAGTCCTAGGCCAGCCTGGTCTACAGAGGAAGTTCCAGAGTAACCCTGTCTTGAAAAATTGAAAATAAATAAATAAAAAGATCACAAACCTAAAAAAAGAAAACACAGAAAAAAATATATTGAACTATGCATATTCTTTTTTTGTTTTGTTTTTGGGTTTTGTTAGTTTTGAGATGGTTTCTCTATATAGTCTTGGTCTTCCTGGAACTCATTCTGTAGACTAAGCTAGCCTTGAACTCCCAGATCCACCTACCTTGGTCTCCCAAGTGCTGGGATTAAAGGTGAGCAGCACCATGGCTGGGCTCACATACCTTTTATTCACACATCTGCTCTCCTTCCAAGATTAGGAAGACCTGGAGACTCTGCCCTGCTTCCCAAGTTCTGGGATTATTGGCCTGAGTCTTTTCTGGTTTTAACTGTCATATCCACTCGCTTCACGCTCTTTCCTCAGCTGTCCTTGGTTTATACTCTTGTTCATCTCGTCACGTAGGTTTTAAGGTTACTGGTATAGTTTGCTTTTAAAGAGCTTGCCACCATATACAAAGGCCCTTGGTTCAGCCTCCAGTACTGCACACTGACAAGATTTGGAGTATTTCACCCTTGAATAGATTGATCCAGGCTAACTACAGAACGGGGTGTTTAAACTTCCCACTCATGACCCCTTTATGCTTGAATTTTTTTTAATTTTTTTAAAGTATTTAATTATTCTGTATACAGTGTTCTGCCTGTATGTATCCCTGAAGGTCAGAAGAGGGCACCAGATCTCATTACAGATGGTTGTAAACCACCATGTGGTTGCTGGGAATTGAGCTCAGGACCTCTGGAAGAGCAGCCAGTACTCTTAACTGCTGAGCCATCACTCCAGCCCCTATGCTTGAATTTTTAAGAAAACAATTCTTTAGTCCAAGCTGTGGTACATACCTGTGGTTCTCACTTGTGATACAGAGAAGGATTTACTTCATCTTTGGCCACGCAGTAAGTTCAAGGCCAGGGTGTGAGAACCCCTTCTCAAACAACAGAAAAAATGGTCTCTGTATAAGTCGAGTAAACGTTTCCCTGCAGGTGGTGGCAGGCCCCGTGGGAAGCACACCACCCAACAGTCTCCTTTCACCTGCTCTGCCAGGTGGTTCCAATTGCTCTCAGCCCTAATGGTGTTCAGTCGGCCTGGGACTGCTTCAGAAAAGGGAAACTAGCGCACACTGCAGCCTTGACGCCAGGACTACCTCAGCTGGGGGGCCTAGACGAGTAGGAGTTTTGGCCCCAGAACTTGACAGTTGAGTGGTCTTGGGGAAGTCCCTCAACCTCCCCATGTTCCAGTGTCATTCTCCAAAAAGG